ATGTTGCCAGTTGCAGGTTGGGTTCGTGAGGAGAGCTGCAGAGGTGAGATAGTGATAGGGAAGTTGAGAAGTATACATCCCAAAACGCATAAATTGTTTATAGTTTTTCACAACTGTACACAAGGTGGGCGCGAATCTAAGGAAGGAGCGAGGGGGTGCAACATTTAAAATGTGTCGCCGTTGACTTCTTTTGCGTTGGCGTCCAAGTTGCCGACACGTCGCTGCCGTTGACAAATGCCCAAGCCACATGCGCTGTTAACTAAAAGTGTTGGCCCTGACTTTATGACTTGGTCAGCCACCTATCTGCTAATTGCTAACTGGTATCGTGGTGTATACGAGTATATCTACCTCAAAGGCCAATCAATCAATGCTTAATGCATTGCAAATGTACAACAAATTGCGCTTTATACACTTCTGCTGCTTGGAACTCTTTTCATTTGCTGTAAGCTTTGTCAGGGTCATTTCGCTGTACAGAGTACTAAATACAGAGTAATGAAACCAAATACTTAATGCATTTTAAAGTTAAATATTCCATTAATAAATGTGTGTTCTTATTATAACGCATTAAAAAGAGTAAAGCTAATCTTCCAATTATCAAAAAAAAAAAAAAATAGAAACAAATCACGCTCAACATCATATTAAACTAAAGCTTGTTGGACATTTTATACGTATCAGGTTAGAGCATTTCAGTTATGGCATGCAGACCTATTCGCTTTCAGGGTCTTTCTTGATTTACTGAGCAAGTCTTGTGAATGACTCTGCGAGGCAAGTCAGTGATCCACAGGCTCTTGGGATTGCGTGATTATGAATATCTATTTAGCATTTGATTAGCAAATGAATGCGTGGAAGTGAAAGCAATGGCACGAGGCCTAACGATGTACATTTCAATCGGAATTTCGATGCAAATTTATGCTTTCGATTCAAAATAGTAATTCTATTAAATCATGATTCCCGCAGATTCACTTGCTAACGAAGATAACTTAAACAATTTAAATTATTGCTTTGGATAAAAGAAAGAAGTTATAGTGACCAATTCAAAAATCTATTATTATTATATTAATATTATTATTATTATTATAATTATTATTACTAATATTTACTATTATTATTATATAATTTTCCGCATATTAACTTTACAACTCTTAACATACTAAAACAATAGGACGCAATACTTACACATACAAATAAATATAATTATTTTTAATAGTAATATTTTTTAAGATAGAAATATACCAAAACAAACAATATTAGTAAGTTATTCGCTGTTTAATTATCCATCTTAATTAAACCAGATTACATTCAGTTCAGTAAGCTATCAGCTCAATGGCAACTGTGAATCATTTCTTATCAAATCAGCACATTTGGGTTACCCATTGTGAAAATACGAAAGCGTCGCTCTGCAACCGCAACTGTCCACAGCTGTTGCAAAGATGCCTCTAGGCTCCTGGCGCGTCGTACGTGGGACTCTGGCGAAAACCCGACTGTCAAATTAAATTAATAAACACAACAATTGGCAAAGGCCTCAGATCCAGAGCAGAACAGACCAACTGTCCACTCACACGGCGCTCATAACAGTGGAAGCGTCGACGGGGAAGGGGGAACGGGGAACGGGGACGGAGGATGGCAATGGGCGATGGCAATCGTAAATGAAATTTTTTCTCAAATTGAGTTTGGGGCAAGTACTCAACTTTTGGCATGCCCCGGGCTCGTGGCTGTACTCTGTGCGTGATGTGAGCAGGGAAGGGGAAGTGGGTAGCTGAAAGTCTGTTTGGCCTGTTCCTTGTCCATAGCATTTTGTATTAATTACAACATAGCCGGCGGTGAGACCGCTCAAAAAGTTTCAACATAATTGATTTCATTTTTATTTTCAGTGGATTGTGTGATGAGTGGCGGGAAAATGCGAAAAAGTGGAAAAATGAGGATGTCGGCGTAACTTGTGTGGCCTTTGTGAGGCCTGCATTAAATTGATTTAATTATTGGCTAGCCAAAAGATGCGCCCAGCCATTTTCAGTGTCAAATTTATTTTTTAATTTACTTAAATCGTACAGAAGAAAACCATTGCAACTTTTTTGAACACCAATTGACTTAAATATTTGCAGCTCTAGTTAAACACCAATTGTTATTGAAATTAGTCGTACAAATTATAAAAAAGTGGAAAATGATCTTCGCTTGGGACAAATTTTTTTTTTTTTCAATAGTTTTTTATTATATATTTACATGAATAAACTATATATACATATATATGTTAATAAACTTAAATAAACGCACATAAAAAAGTCTAGACAAATAAACGGAATGTGACTAAAAATATTAAAATTTAAAATAAATATTTTATTTTATACTTTGGTAGCGTAGTAGCTTTATAATCCAGTGCGCAAATTGTAGAGTATCCAAAACATCCATGGATTTTTTATACGCAATGTCAACTATCATTGTCCTCGGAGTTGGTTATGTCGTTTTGCATATTTTCAGATTGAGTTACGGCCGTTGTCATCATTGTTGCTCTTTGCCTTTACCGTTGCCTTCACTGCAATTCGTTGCTGAATCGTTGCTGTTGCTTATCTGTAGCATGTGTCTGGTCCTGGAAAAGGCGAACGGCGGTTTTGTCGAATCGAACCAACTGGACTTAACTTAAATGCAATTCTGCTCCGGGGACACCTGTTTGAGGGTGTGTAAGCAGTTTGGAATACAGTTATTCCGTAACATATTCATAAAGGTTTTCGTTCGCTGTCAGAAACTGAATATTAATTTGATGTAGTTCAAGGCGGATTATCATTCTTTATTCGGAAGTTGAATTGAAACATTCTCAAACTGACTTTTGATTTATTTTCCTTTATTTCGAACCTATTTTGAAATCTGATTAAAAAAAAGAACAAACAAGAACTAGAGAGAACGTTGTAGACTGCGATATACTTTGATACCACAAGTTATTCCAGCGGATAACAAGTAACAAAGAATGACACCTACCCTTTAGCCAGGAAGTTCTATCCAAGCTTGCCTTTGAAATTGCGGTAGATGTAAGCTTGTAACGTTCCTTCGAAGTTTGGTATCGGTAGCTATTAAGTTACGGGAGATATGGGATTTGCGAGAAACGTAACTGTAGCTTTAAAATTGCGGGAGATATAGTCTTTTATCATTTTTGTGGGCGGGGCTGGCCGGAAGAAGATATGCGCATTTCAGATTTTTAGGGCAGAAGTTCCTGGGGGCGGTGGGTGTAGGCGTGGTCTGAAAATAGCATTATCCCGATCCTTGGAGGAGGTCAACAGCATGTTACCTTCCAAGTTTGATCGCTCTATCTTTAATATTGTGGAAAATATGCCGGCTCATCGATTTACACCTTCCGAAATATCGGTATAAAAATTTGTTATCGGTTCTTAAAGGCGGCTACTAGTAACATACCTACCTAATTTGACGTATCTAACTCAAAAACTGTGGGTGATAAACCCGTTTAAAATGTTTAAGGGCGAGCGGCGTGGAAGCGCCGGGTGTGGGCGTGGCAGTTGCCGATCTTTGAACATTGCCAACAACCTACCAACCAAATTCGGTGACTTTAGCCTTAAAATTGTGGGTGATATGTGGCTTTATCGATTTGCGAATATCGATTTTATCAATTTCCTAGCCCCTTAGTGGACTTAGTCCTCCAATTTATACACTTGGTCAGACGTGGTCACAGACCAGTATATGTTCGAAGTTTGATGTCTTCGGGATCAAAGTATAAAGATAAGGGTTAACGAACTAATTGTAAATCGATTACTCGCTAGGGCCATAAGCTCCTTAGCTACTATTAGCTCATTGGCTAAGGTCGATATTTATTATTTTACTTTAGTCTACCTATTAAAATAATGGCCGAGCTCCAATGAAGCATACCTTATGACAAATGTAGATTCTCTACATACTATTCGATCATTATATAGCATTAAATCTGATATTTCTGTATGTAATGGCCTTAGTACACCTTTTGAATGCAGTACAGTACCTCTATCGATCATAGATAAGAATATTGCCGGATTGAGCGACGAATTGGAAAATATTCAATTTTTTTTTTAGCAAATTCATTGCAAAAAAAAGCATCACAATTTTTTTTAATATGGATCATAAAGATTGTAATGGTCGGCAGATAGATCGAATGGGGGGCCATCTCCAGAAAAAGAAAAAAAAAAGAAAAAAAGAAGAGGAGACCGCATGCGCATGCGTTGCAGAAAGATTTATTTAAAAAGAAATTCAAATAAATTCGTTTTAATAAATTATGAAGTAATTATATATAAGAAAAAAAATAATATAAAATAAATAAATATAAAGCAAAAGTAAAAAAAATAAATAAAATAAAAACAGGCGGAACTATCCATCGCCACTATCAAGGAGAAAATCGCCAGGGACAACTGGACTCAGGAACCAGAAAGTCGAAGCTCGGAGACCCGGAGACGACTCGGATTATACCAACACACCTGTGAGTTTGTTCCCGCCTAATTGCGGCAGATTGAGTCAAAGGCCTGATCGGCCCTAACCAATGCAATAGTGATGCTCAATTTGTCACTCAGTGATGCGCACTTTTGAAGCCGAAAAAAAAGAATAGAAAAATCATAAATATTTTGTAAGCTGTAAATTAAGTCAATATATCAAATTGTACTACATACGAGGTGTGTTCAAAAAGTATCGCGAATTTTCTGTTTTTTCAGATATTATTTATTTATTCATGAATATCTATTTTGTCCCCTTCAAAGTAATACCCATGAGATATTATACACTTGTGCCAACGGTTTTTCCAATCTTCGAATCACTTCAAAAAATCATTTTTTTTTATCTTGTTCAGCTCCTCCTTCGATCCCGTCTTTATCTCGTCAAGCGTAGCGTAACGTCGTCCTTTCATGGGCCTCTTCAGTTTAGGGAACAAGAAAAAGTGACAGGGGGCCAGATCTGGGGAATACGGTGGCTGCGGCATCATTAGTGTGTTGTTTTTGGCCAAAAAGTCGCGCACAAGCAACGATGTGTGAGCAGGGGCGTTATCGTGGTGCAAAAGCCAATTTTTGTGCTTTGCGCAAATTGCGCATAACTTGCAGGTAATATTCCTTATTGACCGTTCTACCCTGTGGCAAGAACTCATGATGCACCACGCCCCTGCAATCGAAGAAAACTGTCAGCAAGACTTTCACATTCGACTGAACTTGGCGCGCTTTTTTCGGTCTTGGTTCGTGCGGCAGCTTCCATTGAGATGATCGAGCTTTGGTTTCCACGTCGTAACCATAAACCCACGATTCGTCACCAGTTATGACCCTCTGGAGCAAATTTGGGTCGTCGCGGACAGAGTCCAACATCTCATTAGCAATGTTCATGCGATGCTGTTTTTGGTCGCAATTGAGCAATTTTGGTACGAATTTCGCGGCGACCCGTCTCATGCCCAAATCATTGATAAAAATCGAATGGCATGAGCCAATCGATATGTCTAGCTCCTCAGCAACTTCTCTAACGGTGATTCGACGATTGGCCAATACCATTTTCTCCACTCCATTAATTTTTTCGTCTGTTGTTGAAGTGCTCGGGCTTCCGGCACGCTCTTCGTCGTTCACATCTTCTCGGCCTTCTGAGAACATTTTGTACCACCGATAAACGTTGCTTCGGTCCAAGGTAGCTTCTCCGTATGCCACAATCAACATTCGGAATGCATCCGCGCACTTAATTTCGTTTTTCACACAAAATTTGATACAGGTTCTTTGATCCATTTTTTTGAATAGGTAAAAATCGAAGACGATCCAAAACACGTGCAAGCAAAGCAGCTGTCAACAATTAAGTGAACATTCAAAATGGCCGAGCTTGTCGGCATAAGTGAGAGACATGAGTACCAACATAACAAAAAAAATCGAAATTCGAATATACGTATCCCGCGAAAATTCAAAATTCGCGATACTTTTTGAACACACCTCGTATACATAAGCGAATTTAGTGTTGGGCAAGAAAATGTTAGGGATCACTATGTCACATGTATCACATTATTTGTAAATTAAATATGAGGTGGTAAATTCATGTGATCGGGTGAGATGAGGGCATAAGAAACAAGCGAGAAAGGAATAATTGTGAAAGGAAATTTCTCCAGGATATTTAGGCGAGGAATCACTAGGAAGGGAGGGACACGCAGACTGTACAACATCCACACAGCCAACACAGCAGCGAGCGGACTGGTTTGATGGAAATATTTGTTTTTTTTTTTTATTTATTTATAAGAGAATACAAATTTTTTGTTAACTTGCCGCCCAATATATCGCGGTCGAACTACCCCTGAGCCGATAGCTAGCCGGCTGAGCGATATATTGGTGCTTTCGACAGGCAAGGCATAACAAGATGTCTAACAATTATATGCTTTTTGAGGAACAAATACTTATATACCTATATTAATTTCAATCCAGCACTATGTTATTAATTATTTACGAGTTCTTCAAGTAAAAATTGAAATAGAAATAGTTGAAAAGACTTTCAACGATTGCAAAATAATAACATATTGTAAAACATCCATTTATATCCTAAATCGTTGTATCTAAGCAAATTATAAAGTTGATTATATAATATGTTTCATTTGGAAGCATATGGTTGAATTTGTTCAAAAATTAACTTATATATCACTCTTCTTTCAGGCAACACTAAACTATGAAATATCTCGAAGCTCTCTGCAATTAAAGCCGTAAAACTGTACATTCCAATTAACCATACAATTTTCTTGTTACATTCAGTTTAAAAAAGAAGCATCAATATATGTCCATTACCGTTTTTAATGATGATTTTCATTTAGTATTCGTCCTTCAACATGAAAATAGACAAAAATGTTCACCCAATGAGAGGGAAATTTTGTCTTGAAAATAGTTGAAACGTTTAGTTCAGGGTTGGATGACTTTTGGGCTTGCTAGTCTTAAACTATCATTGTTTGGTCAGAAACTTGGGAGTAGTTGCTTTCTTTTTCGGACGAAAATAACTACCAAAATGAAGGATAACAAAAGCCACAACAACAGCAAGGACATGTACGATATTTTAATGACATGTATTATGAACTGTGTACATTCCAACCATACAATTGTATAGACGTTATGTATGTGTTGCAGTTGGTATTGAGTGGATAAGGATATAGCGAAGGATACACACAAGGTATACAAAAATGGGAAAAAGCGTACATACTATGTATTCGGTGCACAAATCGGAAGCAAAGACGTTCGTTGCGGCGTAAAATTCAACAACGCCCTTCATGCAGGGTCTGTAAATTATGTGGCCCACAGGATATGCGCCAGACCCAGACAAACATACACACATTCGCATAAGACACACGGAATCAACAATAAACTCAACTAAAATCATGTACTTAATTTTGGCTTTTTCTATTTAATAAACTGCTTACAGAAAATGAAAGAGAGAAAAATAATGTAAGAGAGAATGAGATAGCATTGCGAATGCAAATGCTTGGTTAAAGTGCGCCGAGAGATGCAAAATCCGTGTCCAGTACTGCTATACAGACTGCACCGCAGGACGTCTAGACGTTGACGTCAGCGTCCTCGACTGCGATAAGCATACGCCAGGCGCGGCATTATTATAATGCTACGTGGCCATTATCCGAGCAACGCCAACGATAAATCACACCAGGATCTTTGTCTGTGTGCCACAGGCAGATATGACCAGCAACCTTACCACATCACACTACATCAGACCACACCATCACCACCACCCCATTGCAGCTGGCAGGAACTGGAGCACTGTTGCTGCAACAGCAGACGGTTCCCAACCATATCAGAGGCGCTGCATCGAGCGCACGCTCATAAAATGTTGATCCCGACGTTCCTAGACGACAAATTTGCTTAGGATTTGAAATGCACGGCACAGTCAAGAGCAGCAGACAGCATGGAAAAAGAAGATGGGACAGTAGAATGAAAATATACCAAAGTTGCAGTTTTATTATGATTATTATTATGTATCTCTTTTTTCTAGCAATATTTTATCAGTAGCAAGTTCAAGTTCAGAGCGTCTGATGTGAACATGAATGAAATGGAAACCTTTTAACTTTAAGAAATTTGAATTGTATTGTCAAAGTTATTATAATGTTAATATTAATTACTTCAGTCATAAACCATACCACACCGTATCCTCTCCGTTTTGATTACAGAAAATGATTTTAAATTTATATTTGCACACCCTGAACCTATTGAACATTGGTAAATTTATGTAATCAGGATCAAAAGCCAAGCCGATATAGCAATGTCTGTCTGTCTGTCTGTTTGTCCGCCTATACGAACGCGAATTTGAGAGCCTGTAGGAGCTAGAGACATCAAACTTAGAATATTAGTTATCGTATACCAGGCGTAGATAAAGCTTGCCTAATTTTTTCGATATCGCCCTTAATTTTACGACTATCGATACACTTTGATTTCCGGTAGCAATTCAAGCCACATCCTTAAAGGCAAATGTTCTTATTAATACATAACATGCATATGCATATTATTGGTCATCTGTGGAAATTTGATCAAGAGCGGAAAAGAAATTCCATGGCTATAGTCGGCTATAGTATATAAATTCTCATATTAATCTCTTTTTATCAGCAGCCACAAACATTTTCTCTACATATTTCGCAAGACAGTTCGGATTTGCTCGGCCTTCACCGGTCTTATGGGTGCAACATATTTTTAAGGGAAATTTGTTAAAAATATACTTGTGAGGATATGCCATACAAAAAATAGGATGTCCAAATAATTTAATTTCATATTATTTATTATAATAAAATGTCCCACTACAAATTTAATTTTCCAACTCGGCAGTGATTTAAAGAAAAGCTGATATAAATCCTTCTGATTGACAACCAGTTGGCAGGCCTAGCCTTATTGGTGCAGGTGGCAGCGCCCATTGCAATCGAAGTGCAAGTGCAGACAATTTAACGCACCTCTACTTGATAGTGGTCGTCGATCGACTCTTGGTAGCTTTCGGTTTGCTTTCTTATGTCTCTGTCTACTATTTGTATTTATGTAACGCAAACTCAAATGAGAACAGAAAAGCCCACCCCATGGCCATGAGCAGGGCCGGAACATTGTTAGACAGAGCTGTTCTCGCTTAATCGCTTAAACAATAATAGATTTAATAGCTTTCGTATTTGTATATCGTAGCATTCTTACTTATTTTATATTGTAGCTTATTCATACACGAACAGATAGACATTAAGAGCGCGAAGAGAGAATGGTGAAATCTTTCATTTGGTGTCAAGATCTCGTCTGATTCGCACGCATATTTAAAGTTACGCACCCAGCTCATTAAAGTTGTAAAATTATATAATGTGTATAAAACAACTAACTGTAAAATAACTAAACAATTATAATAATAATAATCGTCGTTCCTGAATTATTTATTAATAGCGAAATGTTTGGGAGCCAGATAGATACAAAACATATAACTACGCAAAGATCTTAACTTGAACAACAGCTATCCCATGCTGACAGTCCTGCGCTAAAGTGCCGACTATGCCGTACATAGATATGTATATACCAATTGAGCATGAATAAGCACTCGCCTTGTTTATTTATGCTAAAGTCAAAATTGTACATATACATATATGTATATACATACTTTTCCCGTCCCGGACGTCTCTCACTTTTGTTTACTAATTAAGAGATAAAAAATACGCAAATATTTTCTTATCTCTTATTCCATATTCTTAAAGTATATTCGAAAAGTAATATGGGTTGTGGTATACAAAGTATAGATTATGACTATATACTACGTGCCGATGTACGTGTATATATGCATGAATATGTTATCTCAAAGTCGTTGAGAGAGCTTTTTAGTTTTATATGCCCTAAAGCTCGTACTCGATTTAAGTAATCTTTCATGTCGTCGCTACAGCAATCCAGAAACATTCGTTTAGTTCACTGGAAATCGTTCTGTGCGGTCGAACAAATTATATACGTAAATAAATATATTTATACGTGATATATACGCAACTTGCCAAGAATGGCTGAAAATTTGGAGTTAAGTGATGTACATATTAATAACTTTAAAATATTTTCGATACCAAATAAAAGAGTAATAATTTCAGATGTTTGACTATGGGTATTTTGCGGATTGTCGTATATTAAAAGGGAGAAATAAACCAACAGTGGTAGTTCCATTAGATAAGACTGATCTTGAGAAGCTCAATGTAGAATTCCTATCGAGTATTAAGCATGAAAATATTGCTGAAATATATAATACCATAAATTTAAAAGAAGATGAATACCTCGTTCATATACTTGTGGAATATTCGGATTGTGGATCTCTGAGTCGTTACTTACATGGGGAGGAGCAGCGAGAATATACATTTAAAGATTTGCTCTCCTGGATGCATCAGGCCTCCAAGGTAAGGTACGTCTTTGAAGGCAGAGGCAATTCAATAAATTTTAATCTTCTATAAGGGTCTTCAATACATCCATTCCCGGGACCCTATACCGTCCTTTCGAGATATAGAACCCGGAGGACTTATGCTATCCAACAGCTTTGGTACCCTAAAAATCTGTGGCATTCATCATACAACCATAATTGACGATAGCATATATGCATCACCGGAGGTTCTCTATAAGTATAATAAGATACATATATAAACCAACCTAATTGTGTCTTCATGCAGGTGCTAACAGAAAAAAATGCGAGTCACAAATGCAACGTATTCAGCTTTGGTATTATCTTTTTGGAGTTGATGTCACGCAAGTTACCTTTCCAACACTTAATATGTTCAGTTTATGATATTAAAGAATATGTTTTAAAAGGTGAATGATGTACCAAACAGTGTACGCAGTTGTTAAATCTTCTTTCGTCTTCTTTCGTAGGGGAACGTCCGAAACTTAATGAAATACGATTACAAAACTGTGAGCAGATCAAGGAATTAATTGAAAAATGCTGGAATTCCGAACCGGATATGAGGCCCTCAATGGATGAGATATGCTCAAAAATCGCACATTTTCTTAAGTAGGATATATATGAAATTTCTCATTTTAAATATGTTATATCAAATTTATAATTTATTTGAGTGCAGAAGTGCTTCGGATCAAATCATAAGTTCTAACGCAGGAGCAGTTTGGGACTTTAAAGCAATTGTAATTGGCGAGGTATTAACAAATCGCGTTACCGAAAATCATATCGTTTTATTGCAAATGTTGTGCTCTGAAAAATATGAATCATTTATTATTCATACATCTTGCAGGAAATACAAAGAGGAAAGTTTGGCGTTACGTCCAAGGCCACGTGGTATTCTCAGACAATTGCTGTAAAGGAATTGAAACACATTATCAATGAAAATATCGAATATCGAGCCATGCAGCTGAAGAATTTATCACATGATAATATCGTACATATCTTTGGAATCGCAATGAATGGCGAATCTACATATTTACTTATGGAATACGTAGAGGATGAATCCCTGTTTAACCGTGTCCACAATAAATTGATAGAAATTACTATCGATTCGGCTATGAATTGGATGTATTCTGCAGCGGAGGTATTTTTTATAACATACAGATTTACATATATATTACATTAACTTACTTATTGTCATTTGTAGGCCATCAAATACCTGTTTTGTGAGATGAAGCTAGACCCCCGTTTCCTTTGTAATTTGAAGACTAAGAATCTGAAGTTCATTGATTGCTTCATATACTTGAAATTATGTAATTTTTGTCTTGCGTTTGACGATGAAAAAGTGTTGAAAAACAATTTAGATAAGTCCTATATGGCACCGGAGGTTTGTAAGACACGAAAGCCATTTATGTCAGACGAAAATACGTTTACTATGTACATATTAATTTGTTCGTAGTCAATCAGAGAAGGAGCTTACACGGAGCAGAGTGTCATATATAGCTTTGGTATTATCTTCTGGGAGGTATTGGCACGCAAGAAGCCTTTCGATAAATATAAAACTCCATTACAGATTATGAGCGCGGTCGAAAAAGGTAAAAAAGTTAACTATCTACCGAAGTGGTTGTATCATTTTGACTCTTGCAGGTGAACGTCCGCCTATTGAAAACATAGCTGAAATTACCTCGAGTTCAATAGAAACATTCATTACAAAATGTTGGCATCAAAAACCGGAAGAACGATACAAAATGGATGAATTATTGATGTCACTGCAGAATCTGAAGTCAGAAATCAAAATCTATGAGTAATTATTAATGAATCTTCTTAAATATTAATTACTAAGTTTCATTACCATTGCTCTTCAGGAAACCGGTTGACATCGATTTTTCGGAATTAAATCTAAATGTATTACTCTAACAAATTCGCTTTTATTTGAACTAACTGAACTAAATGAAATTTTGTCCTGCAGATTGTTACCGAAAGTCAATTTGGTATAATATACAAAGGCGATTATCGAGAGACGGAGATAGCAGTTAAAAAATTTAAACAAGTTTTTAAGCACAATATCAAGAAAGGTCTTGAAAAAGAGGTCACTCGTCACTCACGCTTGAACCATGAGAATATTGTAAAACTATATGGTATTACTTATGATAAAAATGATATTCTACATTTAGTCATGGAATACGCTAACTGCGGATCCCTCTACAACTATTTGCATGATGAGGAACAGCGAACGTACACAGTTAAGAATTCCCTCCACTGGATGTATCAGGCGGCAAAGGTATCTCTTACTTTCTTATTGTCCGGCAAATTAATAGTTTTTATTTTCCACTTAAAGGGCATTAACTATCTACTGCATGGAAGAACCATGTCAGAAATACATTGCAATTTAAATTCTCAAAATATGTTGCTGTTCAAAAACTGCAGACTCCTGAAAATTAGTGATTATTGCTTTCCTGGCGATCGAGATAATCTTTCAATCCATCAAAATAGGGCTTATTTAGCACCAGAAGTTTGTATTTCATCCAAGAAGTTTTTTTTAAAGAAAATAACATTAATTTCTGCTTAGGCTCTCGAAAAGAGAGAGTATTCAAAAGAGACCGACATATATAGCTTTGGTATTGTATTTTGGGAGGTGATGACACGCAAGAAGCCATTCCCCGATTTGGATACATCAGTAGAAGAAGACATCACTAATGGTACGAAAGTTGAAGCTTTACCAAAAAATCAAACAACAATTTTAAGTTTTTCAGGCTTACGACCGGATCTGAAAGATATAATTGAATCAGAGTATAAGGACATAATAATTAAAATAATTGAAAGGTGCTGGGATGGATATCCAGAAAAACGTCCATCAATTACAACACTGATCGATGAGCTGTATAAACCTGAGTAAGTTTTAAATGAATTATAAATCTAATTCTTTGAGCTCCCTTTAATTAATTTCTGTTATTCAATATCAATAAATTAAATCCTATTTCATTTCTTAGGGCGTTTGAAGAAGTTGCTAGGTGTGAATCTGAAGAAGCTCCGGCCGTAGACCTTAGGGATATTGATATGGGAAAGGTAACATCCAATAAAATATGTATTTTGTTTGAAAAACAATCATTTTAAACCATCAGGAAAGTGTTGGAAAAGGTACCTTCGGCGATATCTATAAAGCTACTTGGTTTAAGAAAGAGATCGCTGTACAGCAATGTACAACGAAAACTTTTGGAGGGGACGATTTTGACTCAGCAGATCTTAAAAGATGGTTCCAACAGCTTTCTCGACTTAACCATGAGAATATTGTGGAACTATATGGAATTGCCTTTGATGAGAATCATATCTTTATACTAATGGATTCCCCAGTGTGCGTATCGCTTTACAACTATTTGCATGGAGAAGAACACTTTGAGTATACAGTGCTGCGAGGACTCAATTGGATGAGCCAATGTGCTAAGGTTTGGTCTAATATTATTGCATAAATTCAGGAACTTTTGTTTGACAATTAATGTATTTGTAGGGCTTAAATTACTTGCATACCATGACACCAAGCCCGTTGTTTCATGGTCGTTTATCGCCACACAACCTTCTACTACCGATAACCAATAATTACCGAAATTTGAAAATTTGTGATTTTGGCATTGCTCAGGAACTGCAATTTTCATTTACTCCTTACAATAACATTTCTTATTATATGAACAAAAAAATATATACAGGATATCCACGAGAAGAATCAACAGGAGTAAACGTCAAAGGAATTATAAGTCCAATTCAGAGCGACATTTTTAACTTTGGAACTATTCTATGGGAGGTGATGTCACGCAGGAGAGCTTTGTTTCGAATACGCTACAACATTGTGATGCTGGCTTATTTGCCACTTATTATTATAGAAGGTGCAAAACCGATTGAAGGTATAATACAACGTTGTTGGTACCCGCGTCGGAAAGAAAAAAATCTAGAAATGGAATGGCTTTCTTCTGAACTCAAAAATATGGTCATGTAAGCTTACAATGAGTTGCAGCAAGTAATGTAAAGTAAAGATAATTTGAGCAATTCATAAGACTGATTTTATTGCAGAACATCGGAAAAATCACACATTTATCATGTCATGAAACAATTGGACGAAGAAGAGGTAATGCTTAACATACAAATATTTGCTCTCACAATTAATATGATTTCTATGTGATTTCGGATCCAGTACGCTACGCTCGCAATAGAAAACATAAAGGAACGAATTAAGGAACGAATTCCGGAAATTGAGTATGTATTGCAGTTAAACAACAAATTTGTGTAATATTAAACATAATTTATTTAGATGAGACTTCATTAATTTTCTTTTTTCTTTTCTTATCCGACATAATTAAATATTATTCTAATTATTCACAGGCCAAAATTCGTAGAGAATGTGGATTTTAACGATATACAAATTTGTGAGGTATAAAGAAACAAAATAAGTTAATTCAGAGATAATTAAATTTTAACTTTACAGATCCTTGGACGAGGTTCATTCGGCGTTGTTAACAGAGCTGAATGGTCTAATAGAACTATTGCATTAAAAAAAATTACTCCCCAAAAAAAATCAAGCCTTCATGACATTAAGAATGAGATCAAGTTTCTTTCTGGTCTTTGCCACAAAAATATTGTGAAATTATATGCCACCGCGTCGCATTCGCAGTCTTTTTATTTACTCATGGAATATGCAGAATGTGGATCTCTCTACGACTGCTTGCATGGAGAAGATCAACGTAAATACACAAAGTCAGATGGTATTAACTGGATGATTCAACTTGTTGAGGTTGGTTCGTGCACTTGTACATTGTAACAAAATATGATTTAGTGTCCCTTCTCATTTATAGGGTATAGCTTACATGCATAATTGCAGAAGTAAGCCCATTATTCATCGTGATTTGAAATCTAAAAACTTACTATTAACCGATGAATTCAAAAATTTGAAGATTGGTGATTTTGGCACTGTAAAAGAATTGACGACATTAAATACAGATTCTGTTGGCACGCCCTCTTATACAGCTCCCGAGGTTTGTATTTGTATTAGCTAAAAAGTTGAACATTATTATAACTTGGGGTCTATATTTATTCAGAGCTTTGTATTTAATACAGAATATATGTCCGCTTCATGCGACTTATACTACGCGATTCAAGCGACCAAAAGCGACTGACTCTTACTTCATGAAAATAGCTTAAACGTAGCATTGAAGAAGGTCTTGATCATAAGAAACTTACAATTACCGTTGCTCGCAGGCAACAACAGACTAAGACTACAAAACGGGAATGCAAGACAAGCTGCGGTGTACATAGGCAAATACAGTTATTTCCAACATTCCTTCTGAACGCAGTTTGTCTACTTCTTCTCAATTAAGGACTTATGACCGACAGTAACGCAGCCCGTTTCACCTTCAGGATCAATTTCCATTCCTAGGAAATGCTTCAATTGCCCGCTATCGACTACGTCGAACTCCTGTGATATGCACTCCTTCACGCAGTTCAGATCTTCCGTGCTTGTGCTGGCCACAATAAGATCGTCGACATACACGACTATCACATTCAGTTTGCTGGCTTCACGACGTATGTACAAAAATGGCTCGCTAGGGCAGGGAGTGAAACCAATCCTGATTAGCACGGTGTTTAGTTTCTCGTTTCTCGGTTAGGGAAATTTTGGTTATCAAATCCCTCTGGTTGTCACATATAAACCACATCTCGCAGCTCACTGTTGAGATAAGCAGAAGACACGTCAATCTGATGCATATACATACCATTTTCTACCGCTAGAGCAATCAGTAATCTGATTGTCGAATATCTGGTTACAGGGGAGAACGTCTCAGTGTAATTTACGCCATATTGTTGGGCGCATCCTTTGGCCACTAGTCGAGACTTCAAGCGTACTACTTTGCCATGTTCGTCACGCTTCACTGCTAAAACCCATTTACAGCCAATTGCCTTCTCTCCCTTCGGTAGATCAACCAACTCCCAAGTTTTATTTTCTTGTAGACTGTCTATCTCCTTCTGCATCGATGCCCTCCATTCACTGGCATGATCAGAACTCAAGGCTGCATTGACGCTAGCAGGTGCAGCTACGTCATCCGTTGTCATAACATTCAAAATGTTGTACTGCTTTCGAGGGCGTCCCGGCTGCCCGGTGCGTACTTTCTTTGGCCTTCCAGGACCTCTTTTGCCCGGTGCGTCGCATGACTCGATTTCCTCGTCGTCACCAATGTCTCCATCTGTAGATATATTTGGCACCTCGTCATCTCGTTCGGAAATCTCGCGATCCTCAGTTTGATCGCCACTATGAAGACTTACAGGATCATCTTCGACATTCTTCATGATCAGTGTAACATCATTATTACACAGCGAGATTTTGTCCTTTACGCTGTCATCTGTCATTTCACCTTCAAGAAATATCACATCTCTTGCTTCGATTACTTCTCGTGAATCGGGATTATACAATCGGTATACCTTAGCTGTTGCAGAGTAACCAACTAGAACTCTCACCTCACCTTTTGGTAGGAATTTCTTATTGTACTTCTTGTTAAGTACGATAGCCTTTGTACTTTTAGGTGACTTACAGACGGTTTTTTCCTGACTATGACTCATATGGTGTCATATCCTCCAGCGTAGATGTCTCTGAGCGATTTCACAGATAAGCCGCCGTATTTATAGCTTCTGCCCAGAAATCCTCCTTGAGACCAGCATGCACAATCATGCTTCGTGCCATTTCTACCAGCGTTCGATTCGCGCGCTCCGCTACACCATTTTGTTGGGGTGTATACGGCACAGTAAGCTGCCTCTTGATGCCGTTGCTCACTAAATATTTTTCGAAATCGCCGCTCAAATATTCACGACCGTTGTCGCTTCTGAGACATTTTATCTTGCGTCCAGTTTGTTTTTCTGCAAACGCCTTATATTCTTTAAACTTCTCAAAATTTTCATCGCGAGTTTTCATAAAACACACATGCACAAACCGCGATCTATCGCAATTAATGTGCCAAAATACCGCGCACCACCTACAGAACATTTTCTCATTGGGCCACAAATGTGTATCAAGTCTAGTGTGCCTACGGCGCGGGTCTCAGATTTCTTTGGAAATCTCTTTACACTTATTTTGCACTTCGCGCATGTTTCACATACATGTTCTTTTAAGTCCGAACACTGCCTGGCCTTCAAGCCGTGCACTAAATTTTTCTTAATCATTTTATTCAGACTGACAAAATTTAAATGACCAAGCCGCTTGTGCGAGTTCAGTATGTCTGTTAAATTAGCTTGCGCCCTGAAACACTTTTGCTCATCTGCGTTGAACAAATATAAGTCTTGCTGCTCCTTAGCAACTAAGATCACATCGCCTCTACGATTTTCAATGAGCGCTCTCTTTTGCCCAAATTTACAGTGAATCCTGAATCCCTTTTGGTCTACTTTCGATACTGACACAAAGTTGCATTGAAGGTCTTTCACATATAATGTATCGGTCAAATCAATAGTGTTATTTTTCCACTTTATGCGTGCTTTTCCACGCCCATATGCCTGTATGTAATTATTTCCAGCTAAAATAATTTTCTCTTTGTACTCTCTTAATTCTATGAAGCACGATCTGTCGTTACACAAATGCGCTGTGGCGACACTGTCTAGACACCACGTGTTCTTCGCAAAACCACTACTACTTGGGTTACTTGCCGCTGCAAACACTGAGTACGATTTCTTACTCTCTTTATTTTTCTTGCTTTGCTCTTTTTCGGAGCTGTCTTTTGCGCGACAATTTGCAGCAATGTGCCCACGGCGACCACATGTCCAGCGCCGGCCTGTGTTGGCTTTATCTGCTGCGCACTTCTACAATTCACTTTACCGTTACTTTCGTCTGTATTTTTGTTTGCTCGATTGTCTATACGCGTCGAGAACATTTTTGTCTCTCCGTTTGACTCTGTCTGCCCGTCTGCTCTACGCCGTTCACTCTCTTCGAGTAACTTGATTTTTATCACACTTAGCGACGGCAACGTGTCACGAGTTTCCATGGCGATCACGAAATTTTCGTATCCATCCGACAAACTTGACAACAACAATATAAACACTCTTCGACCACTAAAAAGCCGATCTCGCTTAGTCTTTCCACTAAGTCCGCAAACTTATGTATGTGCTCTGCCATACTACCCGACTCTACCAATCTTAGCTGTAACAACTGTTTTAGCAAAGTTACACGACACGCAGGTCCCATTGGCATATGAAATTCTTTCAGGGTGTTCCAGGCACTTGCTGATGTTGGCAATTCTTCACATTATTTATTTGGGATGCCTTTATGCAAAGCATTATGCTTGCCAGAGCCTTTTCGTCTCTTGCATCAAATATTGCCTTTTGCTCAGCACTGTCATTTTCGTTTTTCACGACACGACCGCACACATACTGCCATAGTTCTGAATACACGAGGACGCTTTTCATTTGAACGACCCAGGCACTATAATTCTGGTCGTCCAACTTCTCGATCGAACTCATCGAGGTATTCATTTTCTTTAACCACACAGTTATCACACTTGTCCAAGAAAGTCCAGAATGCTCTCATTCACCTTCTACAAGTAATCCTCAGAACAATTCACTGTATTTTCTACGAGCTGAATTTTCCGTGATCTGGGCCCATAACCTATTATAACTTAGGGTTTATATTTATTCAGAGCTTAGTATTTAATACAGAATATATGTCCGCTTCATGCGACTTATACTACGCGATTCAAGCGACCAAAAGCGACTGACTCTTACTTCATGAAAATAGCTTAAACATAGCATCGAAGAAGGTCTTCATCATAAGGAACTTACAATTACCGTTGCTCACAGGCAACAACAGATTAAGACTACAAAACGGGAATGCAAGACAAGCTGCGGTGTACATAGGCAAATACAGTTATTTTCAACAAACATTTAGTAAAAATATTAATAAGTCGATTCATGCATTCGTAGGTTTTCACTGGACAAAGAATGTATACAGAAAAATGCGATATTTATAGCTTTGGCATTATTCTTTGGGAGGTAATGTCACGAAAGAAGCCTTTTGATCACCTTGGGAAGTCCGAGCCGATGGCAATGCTACGTTTTACTGCCGATGGGAATCGACCTTTACTGGATGATGAACTTAAACACAAATTTGGTGAGCCTTTAGTAAAATTGATTGAGGATTGTTGGCATCAAGATCCGATACGACGACCCACTGCCAAATCAATTGATCTTTCTGAAGTCTCACGTTCTGATGATCATATTGAAAAAGACATCGCTAAAGCACCGTAATTATTACAATTAATATTCTGCTCATTGAATGTCCTGTTGGTAATATCTAAGAATATCTAAGTAACTGGCAAATTAACCAAACAGTGACCCCTACCCCTAATTGCGTTTCAACCCACATGTTGAACACCCGTTGTCACACTGAATTAATTTAACGCTTCGTATGGCATACAATTTATTTACAAAAATGTTTTTAAAATTAATGAGATACCTCGCAAACAGGGCTGGGGACTGTAAAGGTGTCAAACATTAACAAAAAAAAGAATAAATAAATTAATATAAACAATTTTAATAAGCTGTATTTTACACGCCGAGTAATAAATATGCATTGCTCTCAATATAAATAATAAATTGATTTTTGACTGAAAGTTTCTAAGGGAGATCAATCTGTCCCATATTTTCGACAATTGCTAGATAGCCGTTGACCTCTCAGGACAGCCCTCTGGCAGTGTGCAATGAATGTCATTTGGATTTGACTTGGATAAGTTTCTAATTTATTGTGCATTAAAAACAAAAAACAAGGTGTGCTCTATGCATAAATATATACATATCTCTTATATCATATCATATATATATATATTTATATAGCTTGTGATTATCGGCGCATTCGCATTACTGGGTTCTTGTGGCCACGTGCCGCATCTCACGCGCTGCTTTTGAATTGCTCTTCATTACGGTGGATGGGAGCTGAGTTCAGGTAGGTATGTGGTCTTATCACAGCTTGAGCTGACCTGGTTCTGTGCCGGCAAGCAGAACAAGCAACTCCGGCGTCATTGGAGCATTTAGGGTCACCCACTATTTTGGCAGAGCGGCATCATCTCGGGCAGATTGCAGGGCCTGCTGCAGGGCAAAGGCGACTGCTACGCCCAGGCAAATAGCTGGCTCACCAGTAGCTAACAAAATAGACAGAGAGGGACAGTTTATACACTCAAACAACAAATATGCCCTCGAATTATGAAAATCGAACCAATATTGAAATGGCCGCAAGAAAGCAAATACGAAAATAAAAAATATGAATATTTATTAACTAAGAAACATAAAACTGTATGTGAGAAGTAAGAATGCACTATTTGAGAGAGCTCAGCGAGAAAATACACTGAACCCAATTCATTCATTATCATAAGTCCCACACGTCTTAGATATGCAATCCAACGCACAAAAAAATATTTGTACTTACGGATGATATTATGGCAAGGTACCTGTAATCGAATCTTAACGATCTCTGGCTCTTTTCGTGTCCGACGGACAGACAGGTTAATTTAGATTAAGGGTATAAAAGTGGCAAACTGACGATTTTCTAAATACTGTGACACACATATTTGTTGTTGAGAGAGTAGAAAAAGCTGGCATGCAACGGATAATTGTAACTAACCCTTTGACCGCATGAAGCCAGCCTTGTTGGAGCTCTTGGGCAGCATCTCGATGCGCATATCAATGGGTATATCTTTCGCACCCGGCGGCTTATAATTCCAGGTGCGGTTTGTCAGGCACTCGCCCGTTTTCGGATCGACAACAATCTGCTCACTGGTCCAGTAGCCCAGGCCCATCGAAAAGGCGCCCTCGATCTGGCCAATGTCCACGTGAGGATTCAAGCACTCGCCCGTATCCTCCAGGATGTCGGCCCGATTAATCAGATAGTTGCCAGTTAGCACATCCAGCTCCACCTCGATGAGGCCCAGTCCACATACCGAATACGGTTCCATATCGCCCTGTTTGCACTGGTCACTGGCTATCAAGTTGATCTTGCGATTATATGCCTCGTTGATCAGCTGTTGCCAGTCCGCCGGCTTCAGCTCCGCCTTGAGCGGCTCCAGTCGGGAATTGAGTGTCTCGCACGCCTTGCGCACTGCAAAGCAAACCGACTCGCTTCCCACAGCACCACCAGTGACCATCGAATTGGCACCGTTAATCGTTTCGCTCGCCTCAATGCGCACCTGCTCCATGGCAATGCCCAACGTGTGAGCCACAATCTGAGCGATCTTTGTGTTCATGCCTAAAACCAAAAACAAAAAAAAAAAAGAAAAAAGAAAATGTCAAATACATATTTATAAGTTGATATATAAAGAACACAAAAAAATTGGCAACTAGAATATTAGCAAAAATACCACATGAAAATTTGCATTAAAGGCACTATTAAAATTGTATTTTAGAAGCTTAATAAATAAAAGAATTGTTAAAAGCTTTTTTCATTGCGAACAAGTTTGATTTTCATTTAAATAATATTTTCACCTCTTTTCGGAAAGAAATGAAAATCTTCGCTTTATCAATCAAAGCATATTTTTAATGTCAATTTATGATTTTTGTACAAACTTACCTTGACCCATTTCGATGCCTCCGTGGGCGACGACAACGGTACCATCGCTGTGATAAATGCTCACCGTGGCCGGAAACTGTCCAAAGTATCCAATCTGATACTCCATGATAGCCAGGCCCAAGCCGCGCTTGTGCCAACGATGCTCCTTATTATGAGCAATGATCTCGGCGCGGCGCTCCCGATAACTGTTGTTCTCCAGGAATCGGGGCATCATTTCGCCCATTTTGTGCGCCGGCAAGATGTTGGCATAGCGCACATCCGCCGGATCGTTGCCCGTTGCAAACGCAATATGCTCAATGATATTCTCAATCACGGCAATGCCCTCTACGGAGCCCGGAGCACGGCACGCCGTATTACTGGGCAAGTCGGAGACTACTATAAAGCCATCTAACTTATAGTTATCACCGAACTCGTAACAATTCTTTGACAAAAGCACCGCATGCCCCATGGGCGATTCACTGGTCAAATAGCCGGCATCCTCATACAAGCGACAATTTAGGCCAGCAATTTTACCATTTGCCTGCGCATAGAAATCATAGTCACAGTGGCAGGACCAACGCTTGCCTGTCGTTGTCATAATCGATTCCAGCGATTGTACGAACCTCACTGGACGATTCAGTTTGTGGGCTGCAACCGCTGCAGCAGCAGCAGCAAGATTGCAGCGTGTCGCCTTGCCACCATATCCGCCCCCAATGCGACGGGTCTTCACCTGCACCTCATTGCTCCTCAGATTAAGAGCCTTGGCGACGACATCCTGAGTGAGATCCATCCACTGTGTGGCCACATACATCTGTACACCGCCCTCGAACGGTAGCACCACCGTCGTATGCGGCTCCATAAAATTATGATACTGCAAACCCAAATCCAATTTGCCCGTACCCTGAATCTCGTATGACTCCTGTAAGTCCAATTTATCAATCATTGATTTCACTGTGTGCTTAATCCGGTCACTGGATGCAGGAGCTGCCGACTGCAGTACATGCATCATGCTGGCCAGCACCTGTTCGGCGCCACCCACATATGTCAGCTCCACCAGCTCGGCGGCGCGTTGAGCCAACTCGTTGGATGTCGCCAGCAGCAATCCAATGGGCTGTTGGTAGAACTTGATTTCACCGGTGGCAAAGATTTGCTCCTCCTGCGGAAAGAAGTGCTCGTCCGTAGCCTTGGGACGCAACGAATTTGGTCCCGGTATATCATTGGCATCCACATAAGCCACCACGCCGGGCAAGGCCAGCGCCGATGTTGGGTCCACCTTGCTAACCTGGGCGCCCACTCGCTTCGCCGTCACAAAGGCCGCCCACAGCTGATTGTGCTGGGTGGGCAGGTCGTTGGCATAGGTCGCCTCACCCGAGCACTGTATTAAACCCTCGTGCTTCTCCGTTGGCTTCGTAACCGGATAGTGCTGTTCGTGCGTTTCGTAGCTCTGCTTGCCACTCGACACAGGACGCTGCAGCAAGGAGCCGCCACTTAAATGGCGACTGCTTACCTTCACCTTCTTCCTCTCCGTGGCTGCCTTCAACAGAAACTTGTACAACAGACCGCAGGCCAACTTGCGTCGATAGATTGGCGATGCATCCGGAAGCACCTCATCCGGCTGCAGCAGCGTCGATAGTTTGGCGAACGCCTGCTCCAACCAGGCATTGTCGAAGGGATTGCGTCTGAGCAGCAGCTCCTCGATGGCCGTCGCATGCACAAAGTCCGGACGAATGCCGCCAAAGCAAATGCGAGCACTTTTCACCTGCGACTCCGCTCCAAGTTCCAGCAGAAATGCGGCATTCACATAGGCATGTGCATTCTGGGCACGTGGCATGATCTGTGGAGGCAACAGAAGATTCAAGATTCAAATACCTTACAGAAAACTATCTCGCTACTTAACCTAAAAGCCGATTACATTTCTGATTATGGTATGAGGCATAGTAAATACCCTTCATTTAAAATAAACTAAATAAAAACCATCCAACAATAATCAATATTCAAATTGTAGCCTGAAAAAGAAGGATGAATGCTGTCTTTTAATGCATATTGATGCTAAAGCTATAGGTGCTTTATTATTTGTAGGTAGAAGATAATTTAGCATAGAGATGATCGGTTGTCGAATTTATTACTACAGTTACCACAAATTAACACACACATAACCTGCTGCATTCAAAATTGAAAAATAAAATATGAAGTCATAAATCAATTTGTGGATAAACTATCCAAATTACAAACATCTCAATTATTTAAAGCGATAGTCCTGTTTAACTTAAATCTAACCATATTATAAACGCCAGCTGTAAGCTGCAATTGTAAGTTATCACAAATAAAAAAAATGTAAAATTAATATTTTCAAAATATTTTTACATGAAAGAATTTCGAATTTAAGATTGAAGAATGCTTTGAAAAAGGTAGTAATTTCGGCGTGACTGTAGATATACAATAGTTATATTGTATATTATTAAGAATTATACTTTAATTAATTAATTTATAATTTCATCGCACTGTCATTTTAGATAAATGGGTGTAAATATTTGATCAATAAATGAACTCGATTCTTACCTTATACGAATCAAATAGTACATTCTGCTTTGAGTAGGCGGGCAGAAGAATTGCACGAAGGATTTTACCCAGCATTGGCAGCTTCAAATAGCTGTACAGAGTCAATTTTAGCTGCTTTTCCGCAGACTCTTGAACGATGACCTTGGCATTTAAGGCCTCCAGCACAATGCACACATCGGAGGGGAACTCGGGGTGTGCGTGCTTAATGGCCAAGTTACCAGCTAGAGTGCCAGCCTGAATAATGATACGATTATACAATTGTTAGATTCTTGTGGACATATTGTGATAAGATACGAGTGCACTCGTCTTGATAAGTATTAATTGACTCACATTGCGCACTGGCACGTTGGCAATCCAGTCCAAGTGTTGCCAGACCTGCGCCAGATACTCGAATCCGCTAGTTTGCTCCAGCTTGCGGCATATATCCATTGTCTCGCTGA